CCCCAAGCCAACACAAATCGCAAGGCCGTTTACTCGCAAGCGACCGTTTAGCTGCAAGCCGACCGTTTACAAGAACAGAAGTAGGCCATAGCACAGAATTATTATCATTTCTGCCTGACTTCCTCTTCTCTTCACCCTCAAATAATATAGTAATATTCGCATGCGATTAAAAAAAAAAAGAGTTTTGCGGCATTTGCAGCACAATTCAAGGAGTGTAGGCCTATGTTCATGCCTGAGGTGGAGCGGTTTGGCATTTCCAAGATAGTAGTGAAAACAGAAATTGAGGAGGGACAAGGGGCTTAGGTGTTTGAAAAGAAAGTAGGAGAAAACCACACAAAAGCACCCACCGACCACTCACACTTCGCATGCGTGTAACTCGAGTCTGCTATTTAAGGATCAGGCTCTTCACAGTTAATCCTAGAAAATATGAGTTCTGTTTCCAGAGTGGAAAAGATTTTCTTTTTTTTCTTTTTTTCTTTTTCTTTTGTTTTGTTTTTACTTATTTCTAAATGAAAACTTCCATCTGTCTGAAGATATAATCTATCAAGTCTTTGAACACGCAATGTGGTTCCTTATCAGAGAACTGGCATTTTTAAAAATTACACACTGAGCCAGTTACTAGCAATGAGCTTTACAAAAGTGTAGAATGTCAAACAATGAGAGAGATATACACGTTCAAAAATATGCCTACTCACATCGTGCCGCCATAGCAACTACCCCCCCACCTCTCTCTCTCTCTCTCTCTCTCTCTCTCTCTCTCTCTCTCTCTATCTATCTATCTATCTATCTATCTCTAGCGGAGGCACAAGGAGAAAGGAAGAGCTGCAAAAAACAGACTCTAAGAACAAACAAACATAAACAAACAAAATAACCAAATCGCAAAAGCACAACTTGTCACTTACACGTAGCCTTGTCAGAAACTATCCACAACTCTCGCCAACTGCAAACCAGACTTTTTTCAGAGTTAGAAATCAAAAGCTGCTTCTCGAATAATAACAGAATTTATTGAAAACGAAATTATACCTCAAAACGCGACACTCTCCTTGTAAGTCTTCACTTCTTCACTGAATACACCAACGTCTTATGCCGGGTAAAGAGAGATAGAATATCTAGATCTAGACTCTAGTTCACATTTCTACAGCAAAGGATGTTGGCCTAACCGAATCATCCATTCAGTCAGTAATGTTATTACACTGGTCATGTGACACAGGGCTGACACGGGTCATGCGGTATAACTTTTCCTGACACTACACACGAAGGGTAGGCTAGAGCTGATGGGTCAAATCTTCCTACTTTTAGTCATGGAGCGGAGAAGGGAAGGAAGGTCGGGTCACGGGGTCGGTCATTTCGTGACTTATGGATATTACACTGGAAAACAAGTTGAAGATGTGTCTCGCTATGGGGGAATGTTTGTTGAGTGAAGCGAGAAACATAATAACGTGGACTCAGTTGTTCTATTTTCGTGTCAGTGGGAAAAAGCAAAATCGGCAAGAAGAAGAAGAAGAAGAAGAAGAAGAAGAAGAAGAAGAAGAAGAAGAAGAAGAAGAAGAAGAAGAAGAAGAAGAAGAAGAAGAAGAAGA